CCCCCCTGCTGGGTCAGTGACCCCCCACCAAGACCCCCACCCTCCACTGAGACCCCTGCTTGGGGAGAGACTGTCACCTCCACTTTCAGCCTGGGCGTCTTCTCTTCTGCCCTCTGGTGCTGGAATAGCCGGGCCTCACGCCCACCCAGGTCCCTTTATAGCTGGCCCCCGCACCACACCCTAGAGGGGCCATGTCCAGGCGCCGGATGAGGGGTCCTAGTGTACCCAGCTCCCCTGCCCCACCCCAGATGCAGCCGCCTGTCAGGGTGGAACCTTGCAACCCGTTCCATGGCTCCATTTGATGCTGGGCTAGAATTCTCCCGCGATTTTAGGGACTGGTTGGAAAATTCCATGTTTCTGCTTTAAAAAAAAAAAAAAGCCCCCAAAGAGCGAACATTGGGCGACCTTTCACATGCTTAGTGCTTTATTCTTGATTCTTCCTTGACAGCGGGGAGCCAGGGCTCCCGGGTTCTAGCCCTGGCTCTGGGAAGGGCACCGGGGGCTAGTGGTTAGAGCACGGCTGTCAAGGAGCCTGGTCTCCTCGCTTCTAGTCCTAACTGGGGCGTGTGTGTTTGTCGGATCTGAGGGGGTTGTGTTTCGGGGAGAGATGTGGAGGGCATGGGGCATTGGGTGGGGGTGTAGGATGCTGGTGGGGCTAATTGGGTAGGAGTCTGGGGGTTCTATGTGGGGCAGGGAGATTTTTTTTCACACACACCCTCCATAGGGGGATGTGTGTGTGTGTGTGTGTGTGTGTGTGTGTGTGTGTGTGTGTGTGTGTGTGTGTGTGTGTGTGTGTGTGTGTGTGTGTGTGTGTGTGTGTGTGGGAGGGGGGTAACAGGGAAACCCCAAATTGCTCTGAATGGGGGTGTGGCTCTGCGGCTGATTGGTCAGTGATGAACTGGGGGAGCCGTTGCCAAGCGACTAGCAGCTGTGGGCAGGGTGGGGGGAGGAGGGATGAAATGGGGGGGAGGAATCCCTGACAGTTCTAGAAGGGGTCAGAATTATGAGGGGGCTTTGCCCCCCCCCAAGCAGGCAGGGTGAGGGAAGGAGCTGGGGGTGGTTCTTAGGGGGAGCATGTACATGGGTGTCGGTGGAGAGGGTGTCAGGGATTGGGGGGGGTGCACGGTGACGGAGGGGGAGGCTGTGGCAGCTGGGTGTGCAAGGGCAGCTACCAGGGCTGCACACGCATGTCAGGGCAGGGGGATAGGCGTGCCCATGCCCAGATGGCATGTGTGAGGGAGTGACTCGGACACCCTTGCACAAGTGTGTGGCCGGAGGCTAGGAGAAGGGTTTGTTTACACACCAGTGGGGGTAGGGGCATGTGACGCCTGCTGGTGCATCAGGCTTGCTATGTCACTTTTTGCACACGCGCGTGCTGGTGCAGTGCGGTGAAGCTGATGGGCACAGCCGTGGGATTAGCAGCGATGGGCAGGAGTGGGTGTGCATTTGCACGAGTGTGCATCTCCACGTGTATATGTATTCGCACAAGGGTGCAGGGTGTGCTGATGAGTGCATGCATTTGGACACGTGTGAGGGTTGCACAAGTATATGTGTTTGCACACACGCATAAGGGGATGCAAGTGAGTGTGTGCAAACTGCATACACACAAATGCGTGCATTTGCACAAGCGAGTGGGGCCTGCATTTGCACAAGTGTGTGGTGTGGGCATGTGCACGTATGTGTGCATCGGCCTGAGTGTGAGGTGGGGTGTGAATGCCCTTTGTGTTAGTGTCACAGTGCGGTGGTCGGGAGAGCACAAGGCAGGGGTGCATTTGCTCAAGCACGGCCAGGGTACACATGGATGGCCTTGGAGTATCGGGCATTTGTAGGGTGTGCAGGGGGCACTGTCAAGCTGGGTTGTGTGGAGGGGAGGGTACATGGCAGGGGTGGGTGGGACTGGGAACACTGGTGGGCACATATTTGCCCTGGGCAGTGTGGGCAGGGAGAGCCCAGGCTGCCGGGGGACCCGTTGGAGAAGGGGAGCAGACCTGGGACAGCTGGTGGCAGGGGTGGGATGCAGCAGGTTCCCAGACAGCACCTCCTCCCTTCACTTCTCCGTGCAGCTGTCCAGGGGGAGGCGGTGTGGGGGAGCTGTTGCCATGAGAACCATCAGGCAGCTCCCATGGGGGGTTATTCAATGCACCCCCTCACCCATGGTAATGTATTCCCTTTGTCCCAGCCCAGATCCTGGGAGCTCATGCGTCCCACCCAGGGCAAAGAGATCGACTGAGACTGGGGACCAGGACTCCTGGGTTCTCGCCCTGGCTCTGGGAGGGGAGTGGGGGCTAGTGGTGGGAGCAGGGAGGCAGCTTTTGTGGCATGGACTGGGTGGCCTGCCCCGAGGACACATGGAGGAGTCAAGCTGCCACCTTGCCCCCCCCCCCCCCGC